GCGCATTCACTGTTGCTGGAGTCCTGATACTCAGGACCTGTAACAGTACTACAATCAGAAAGAAACACTACAGTCAGTAAAAACACACTACAGTCAGAAAGAAACACTACAGTCAATAAAAACATACTACAGTCAGAAAGAAACACACTACAGTCGGTAAAAACACACTACAGTCAGAAGAAAACACATTACAGTCAGAAAAAAACACGCTACAGTCAGTAAAAACACACTACAGTCAGAAAGAAACACACTACAGTCAGAAAGAAACACACTACAGTCAGAAAGAAACACACTACAGTCAGAAACAAACACAGTACAGTCAGTAAAAACACACTACAGTCAGAAAGAAACACACTGCAGTTTAGCATGTTGATGTAAGTGTAATATTTGTCATCAACAGGAACCTAAGGACAAAAGGGGAGTCTTTCCACTGGATCTTACAGTGGTCATTTTCCTTCTTTGTTTTTTTTTTTCTTTTGTTTGTTCAGATAACAACAAAACAATCCAAAACACTACGTGTTACCATGCCGCAGTTTCTCTGGCTGTTTCATATCCACAGCGGAGTGGCACACAGGGACCAACATTTGAAAGACAGAGAACGAAAGCAATGAATAAATAATGAAAACGTCAGTCAGCAGAAGATATGAAGAAGATTGAGAAAAACCCATAACTCAATACGGGCTTCTATATCACTCCCTTTTCTCCCATCTCTGCCACCACACTTCATTCTTTGATGCGTGTCCTTAACAAAACTCTCCTTCATCCTGCTCATATTTCCCATCCCTCTCCTGGCAAACTTGCAGAAAACCCCCTACTATATTCCCTTTATTCCCTCTCTTCTTGCTCCCCTTCTCCCTCCTGTTCAGGTGACAAAATATTAGTCACAAAGCAAACACAGAGACACACACTCGTACACATACTCGCAGGCCTAATGGCACTTCATTAGCGGCAGCTTTCCCTCCGCGGGGCCGCGGGGGACACGGCTAGATTATTAAAAAAGATGGGCAGAGGAAGAAAAGAAAAGCTGAGGTGGCAGTCATTAGAGATGAAATGGAGAAAAAGCATGTGTCTATACATGTGTGTAACGCTCTTTGTGAGTGCGATACAGAGAACAAGAGATGG